GGAAACTGAAAAAATGGATGGTTTCTCTACAAAAAGATTTAAAACCGTGCCCTACCAGTTGTCGCTTTCTAACCGCACTGGAACAGAGTCACAAATTTAAGGGTAACACATGACAAAGGAAAGTTGCCTATCCTCTGAATCAAGTCTGTGGTAGTTGTAAAGTGTGTACACTCGACATGATCCCAAGATTCCTAAACTCTGGCGAAAACCCATAAGGAAGCACATAATACGGTTCAGTTGTTTGCACGCCATCGAATTTACATCCGTTTCTCAGTTGAGTGTATCAGAGCTCATGGAGGAATTCAATCCTCAGTCGAAGATGCAAGTAACAAAATATTCAGTACACGGTTAGGAGTTGGCAGAGCATTTCAGGAACATGTACTACTATATGTGCTACTCCTCTGTTCTCCTTCATCGTCCAGTAAAGGTGAGAAACGGCTAATGACATTTAATTGCAAATGGTTAACATCTCAGCAAGTTACAAGTCTTTATTCTTAACGATGACTCCAAGTTTTGCATATACGTCACAGCTTGTTATTACAACATGGACAACTTTGGATATTTTGCTGAATGTTTGATTGTTATCTCTGAGTCACAATGGTACAGCATGCCGCTTTTGCATTTGTGCACCTCCGCAATGTAAAATTTCTGTACATTTTACGCTAATTTATGTTGTTCCTGAGAACTCTTTTGAAGTCTGATAAACTGGAATGTGCTTTAAGCTTTTCCCATTCGATTAACCCGCGGTCGAAACTGATGATTAATTACATATGGACCACTGCCTCAGGAAGCATCCAGCAAAAGCTGCAAACAAACCTTGCTTAAAATCGCAAGCATAAGACTGGTTTTAAAATGATAACCGATTTTTCGAACCATTGGTTATATAATCGGGGAGAACAATCACGAGAATCAGGAGCATCGTGATCATCCGACGGGCGACTTTCTTTCAGAAATGATTACGGGAGAAAATCATGTTTCTTAATTTGAGAAAAATAACAGGTACACTTGAACTAAAATGGGTTACAGTGCGTTTTGGCACTATGATCAAGTCAAAAGCAAAACTTCTTGGAAAAGTCAAGAAAAGTGAAATTCCTTGTAAGTGTTCGAAATTAGTATGAGTTATAAAGAGTTATTTTAATTTGGCGGCTTGTTCATAATTTATTCTCAGTTTGTTAATGATGAAGCGAATAAATCAAATTACGCAATTAAGTTATGATCATTCTCTTCTTTGCCGACCTCATCAGGCATCAGTCAATCACTAAGAAGTGTAGGTGGGGAGGAAAATATAGAAGTGCATAGTGTCACAAAATCGATCGATTGATCGATTTGCGAGACATGTCGCGATAGAAAGAACTGGTTGGAGCAGGCGGGGCCACAGGAATAGATGGAGACTATAGCCAGATACGCGCATCAAAAACCTTGGTTTCACTGCGTAGCTCTTGTCTCACGTAGTAACCATATCGTCTCGAAGTCGAGCAGCATAGCTATAGATGATCT